GCGTGAGCTCGGTTCAACTCTTGGAACTATTCGAATCCCCGGGATTGGACTTCTTTACAATGAGCTTGTCCAAGGCATACCTTCCATTTTTGGACAGTTCTTGCTCACTCTTCCTGCGATTCACTCAACAATCATCTTTGTCTGCATCAAATATGTTCCTGTTCCGGTTGTTCCTCAAGAAGAGAGGTTCCTCTTCAGACGGGTTTGTCCTAAGGACTACCATATGTTCAGGTGCATCGCGAGGTACGGTTACAAAGATGTCAGGAAAGAAGATTCTAGAGTCTTCGAACAGCTTCTTATTGAAAGTCTAGAGAAGTTCTTGAGATGTGAAGCATTAGAGGATGCTCTAGAGAGCACTATGAATGATTTTGATCCCGATAGGGATTCTGTTGCAAGTGATACTTACACAGACGACCTCATGGCTCCTCTCATTCACCGTGCAAAGCGTTCTGAGCCAGAGCAAGAGTTGGATTCAGAGGTTTTGCCATCTTCAAGCGTAGGGATGTCGATGGAGGAAGATCCTGCTCTGGAATATGAGCTCGCGGCTTTGAGAGAAGCCACAGACTCGGGGCTAACGTATTTACTGGCTCATGGAGATGTGAGGGCGAAGAAGAATTCAATTTTCGTGAAGAAGCTTGTGATTAATTACTTCTATGCGTTTCTAAGGAGGAATTGCAGAGCTGGGGCTGCAAATCTCACTGTTCCTCATATGAACATCTTGCAAGCTGGGATGACTTATATGGTCTAGTGTTTGATTCTTTAGCTATACTCTCTTTGGAACATTTCTCCTTAGGACCTCTCCATGAAATTAGGGCTTGTTTCTTGCGGTTGACGTTTGTGATTGTCGTTACCGTGAGAAAGAAGCAAAGGTGGAAGATTTCCTAATACTCATATTGTAGTAGTTAAGGAAATAAAAGTGTATCAACTACTTATACAAGTATACCAAATTCACTAGTGATTGTACTATTGTAGTCTAGTGTGTTGCTAAATTCTTCTAAATTAGATATGCATATTTTTATCACTGCAAACTACAAGGCATGGTGGTTATAATCCTATAATCCTATTATTGAATAATCTGAGTTTTGACTAAAGAAATTTGTTAAAAAAGCATAGAAACCATATAAGTAAGTGGGATTTGAGAGAGTCTTTGATTGGATGTTAAAGTAGATAATGTAACATTCTTTTTCATAATTTTGTCAGAAACAAATTTCTAATTACAAAGTGAATCCTACTTGTAACTCACTGCGCTTCTTTTTGATCTCTTTACATTACTTAAAGCTATAAACTCCCATTAAATATTAAAGCTTTGAATTTAAGTTGATTAGCTACTAGCTAGTGACATGGTTGAAGTTTGCCCCTCCACAACTCTTTATTACTAAAATTTGTGACAGCTTCTCACACAAATGTCAAATTTAAAAGACGAGTGTTCAAATAAAACTCTCATGTTTATGTAGTAGATTATTCGTATTGGTTGAGTTTGGATTACTTATTAAATAAAAGTCAATACAACAAAGTGAAGGGACACCTTCACCTATGCATTGAATATTAACCATTGTTTATAAAGAAAATTGAAAATTGCTATCCAAAAGGGTCATTTTCTGGATAAGTAGACTTTTTCCCATCACTGTCAAAAACTATAATAAGAACAATCAAATTTATCGACCATAACATAATATAGTAGTTACTAAAAATTAGTAGTTCGAATAAAAAGGTATTTTGAAATAATCTAAAAAATTATATGATCGAATGACAGATAAGCTATTAAAAGTTAGTCCGAATCTAAGAAAATATATGAGTTTTGGTTCAAAACCTCTTAATTATATATACAAAAAAACATAACATAGTAATTACTAGTTTGTACAATATCATTGCAATGTTATAATCCATATTTAAATTTGAAATTATATGATCGAATGACAAGTAGCTCGGATAAGTTATTAAAAATTAGTCCGAATCTAAGAAAATATATGAGTTTTGGTTCAAAACCTCTTCGTTATATATACAAAAAAAAACATAACATAGTAATTACTAGTTTTTACAATATCATTGCCATGTTATAAATCCATATTTAAATTTGGAATGTGTCATGTTTGAGTTACTTGACGTACAACACGTACATGTGCAATATCTTAATTTTGACATGTTTAGAAATTGTGCATGTGTGAATATCAAACCTACAAGCTGAAATAACACATGCAATTTGTGACTAATCAGGGATTTAACAATTTACGCTTGCTTTTGTTCCTTTTTTTATAGAATTTTTTTGGCTTAAACCAGTAGATCTCTTTAGACCGAAGACCAAAAAATTTAATATTATTTTCTCCTAAACAAATTTTTGAAGGGCCAAATTAATAATACCTCCTTGGTTTTCAAGATATAACAAACATTTGATTTCAAGACATAACAAACATTTGATATTGAAGAAGTAGCTTAGAAGAAAACCGTGAGTTAGGAGAGATTATTTCTTTTCACCTAAAGATTTGTTAATATATATAAATAACTTAAAATAGTGGTTTGGACAACCAAACCGCAAATTTACATGAATGAATTGTAGCAATATGAGCTAAATAGTCGGCTTTTAAAGCAATAATGTTTTTTTCTAGGGAAAACAATAGAAGTGAAAATCAGTGGAAATTCTTTACTTTTCTAACAACGTCAGGTGCATTGGTGTCTATTCAGTTGATGTTTGGTCTTAAGATTTGGATTTATACCTAATATTCTCACTAAATTGATAGATTGTCCTTCTTTCACATTGACCAGTTTTGGTTGGTGACCTTCAAAATGATGAAATTTGGGACTTGTAACACATTTCACAATTTTTTTTACTAACCATATAAGGATATACAATGTAAACGCATTTATAATGCAAAACGAACTATACACAAAAATATTCTAAACAAAACAAATCGTGTTGCTTCGTTTCAACTAATATAATTGTTCTTTTTTTTTTTCAACAATATAATTGTTCTTAATTTCTTTTGCCGATTAATTTAGGGATTCTTTGCAAGAATAACACTTTACCACTAAAATATTAAGAATATAGCACATTATATGTATCAATTAAGTAAATAACATCAAAGGTATAGAAAATGATCAATGGTGGTGGTGGTAATTTCGGCAATGGTGGTTCTGGCGTGATTCTGGCGGCGGAGGTCTTGGCCCGGCGATGATGGTGGTTCCGGCGACGGAGGTCCGACGGTGGTGGTTCCGACGATGGAGTTCCGGTGGTGGTGGTTTCGGCGACGGAGCTCCGGCGGTGGTGGTGCCGGCGACGGAGGTCCGGCGGTGGTGGTTTCGGTGACGGAGTTCCGGCGGTGGTGGTTCTGGCGACAAAGCTCCGGTGATGGTGGTTCCGAAAACGGAGGTCCGGCGGTGGTTCTGGGCTGGGGTGGTGGTGATGAGTAGTGATGGTGGTGAGGACATAATTGTATTATTATACTTTATACACCTAATATCATTGTATATTTTTTTTTGTATAGGTTAATTTCTTAATTTATATTTTTTTTTTTGGTTATAGATCCAAATATAAGAGACTGGAAAGGAAGTGTCCTAGAGGAGCTATTTTTTCCAGAGGACATCATTAAAATAAAGGCTACTTAACCTGTGGTTGGGGTTGATAATTTTTTTGTTTGGAAGCATAACAGGAGTGGTGATTTTTCGGTCAAATCTGGTTATTGGCTAGCAGCTCAGATTGCCAAGGAGCCATTGATTAGAGAAGCATGTGCTAGCTCAACCGTCAATTAATTCTTTGAAAGAGCAAGTGTGGAAGCTCCAAACTGAACCAAAAATCAAGGTATTTTTGTGGAAAATGCTTAGTAGTTCTTTACCTGTTGGGGATCTGTTGTCACGCAGGAAAATGAAAGTTAGATGGAAGATGCCAGATGTGTGGGCATGATGGGGAGTCCATTTTCCATATTCTCTTTGCTTGTTCTCTTTCTAGACTGGTCTGGGCTCTTTCAGCCTATCCGGCTCCTTATGGTGGTTTTGAGAATACTTCCGTTTTTGCTCACATTCATCATTTTTTGATCAATAGTGACAATCTCAGCTGGCCAAAAGAAATCAGAAAAAGCTTCCCTTGGATACTGTGGAGATTATGGAAGAATAGAAACAGTTTTGTTTTCGAAAGCAAATCATTTTCCCCTTTTGAAACAGCTCAGAAAATTAAGGATGATGTGAATGGGTGGTTTGCGGCGCAGATTATTGATTCTGGTCGGGTGCAGGAAGCAGGGTTAGAGACTGAGCACTTGGCTGAGGTTAGTTCTTCTATGATTGGTGTTTGGTGTTTCGTGGTCTAGAAGAAACTCGGTTGCAGGGGCTGCGTGGGTGTTAAGAAATGATGAAGGTCTGGTCTTAATTCATAACAGGAGGGCCTTTTCTAATATTTTGAGTCTTCAAGATGCTAGTCTGTTCAGTTTGGTATGGGCTGTGAAAAGTATGGTGAGCTCTACTTGAGTTTCATTCTTTTGTTGCGCCCATTGATTTGTTTCTTTGGAAGCGTTGTTGAAGTCTATCTCATTTGTTAGACCCTCTGTTTTTTGTATAGTTTTGGGCTTTCCTCAAGTCCACTATATAACCCATCCAATTAATATAAAGGGATTTTTGTCAATAGTGTCATGAAAACGAGTTTTAGTTTTACGAACTGCCATTTCGAAAAGGTCCTTTCGAAAAGGGTCATTCTTGTTGATTGTGGCATATGTAAAAGACATTATTGTCCTTGTAGAAACTGTCGTGAAAAACGATTGACAAAAAATGATGGTGACATGTCTTACATATTATTCCTAAGAAGCAACTAAAAAGAAGCTATATTATATTAAGGCTGATTTAGGTGAATAACCAAAAAAAAAAGAAAAATTAGTTTTTTAGAAAGAAGGTAGAGAGAAATAGGAAGAGAAAGATAGTGAATAGAGGAGTTAGAGGTTAGATATTTAATTTTTTTTCTTTTAGGTTATCTAGTACAATTTATCTTATATTAATTGTTGTATTGATTGTGGACAAAGCAGTGATATTGGTTATTTAGATTTTTTATAATATTTGGTTTAGCTTCTCTACAGTCTCTCACGAGAAGGAGTGACGGTTTATCGAACTAGAGACACCGTGGTTAAAAAAAAACAGCGTCGGTAATTGGATAAAAGTCGGTGGACCAAGAGAGGTGTAGATGGTTGGGACAAAAAAGAATGTCTACATATATGACCTCATCGATGGACAAGTCATATATGTTGTCTATTTTCCATGATGTATTGTCTACTGCTCTCATACCTTGTCCATCTTCTTATGGTTCATCTCATGTTTCATCGCCTTCTTCCTCTTCATATGATGCATCGCCCTTTTGCAATCTGAAATTCGTTCACAAGATTATAGACATCAAAATAGACAAAAAATAAACGATTGATAAAAATGTTGTCTACAAAGCTTTATTAAAACAAGTATAAATTCAAACCTCATTGATGGACATGTCATCTGTATTGTCTATCTTCCTTGATTTCTTGTGCACGGCTTTCATGTCTGATGAATCGTCTTCTCCCTGGCTTGATGCTTCATCGTCTTCTTTCTTTTCAGATGATGCATCACCTTCTACAAGAGATATGGAGCATGGGGCAGAGGGCAAGCGAGAGAGAAAAATAAAAGATTAGGGTAAAATGTCTTGTTTATTTTTATTTGTTTTATTTTGATGTTTTGATAATTTTTAAACAATTATTTAAAAAATTCAAAATATCTAAATTTGGGGAGAAGTCATATTGTGCTGGCATGTGAATTATGGCAATTAATGCTTTGGGAGAAGTCATATTGTTCCTCTCTCCAAACGAAACCAAGGACAATTTTGTCTTTTTATGTACAAGAAATGACATTTACCATAACGACTTTTTTTAATGTCATTCTGCAAAATGAAAGTGTAAATGATGGCATAATTGTTAAAAATCTCTAATATAAATTCTTAAGTTGACAAAAAAAAATCCAAATATAAGATTTTTTTTTGTTGGTTATATTTCCTACCGTCATTTTTGATGCATCATTTTTATTTCTGATGCATCTTGACTTAAATCCAAAAACAAAAGTATCTCATTGTATAAGTATAACCCACGTCTCTTAATAAGTTTTGTTTGTCATTTTAAACACTTATATAGGGTCTAGTGGTTAAGTTCACTTGACTCCGCCTTCCCCACCGGAGTTCGACTCTACTAAATCACGTTATTCCGCGTAATAATGATTGGTTATGGATCGGGCCTTGTCAGCTAAAAATGTCAAAAAAAAAAAAAAAAAAAAAAAAAAAAAAAAAAGGTCTAGAGACGCACTCTATATTTGTCTTATGACTCTTATTCATAAGGTAACACGAGTAAGTAGTGTTCTAACTAGAGGAGACAAAATCTTGAAATCCATTTCTATCCGGCCCAAAAATAATATAATTGATCAAAAATAGTAGTAATTGTTGAATAACTAAATATTATGAAGATAAATATGTGTATAAATGTTATATGATTTTTGATTTAAGAGAGAGATAGGAAGTAGAGTTTAGAGAGAGTTTAGAGAATAGATTTGCTTCTCTTATTTTTTCCACTTGAATTACATTCACAATGGCATCTATATATACACATAATGATGTCTTAATGGAATAGCTAATAATGGCTAATATTAGGGGGTGGCTAATGGGATGAGTGGGTAGGTTTGTGTAATGGGATGAGTGGGTAGGTTTGTGTGATGAATAATCACATATTTCATAACACTCCCCCTTGAGTATTCATCACCATAGATGTATGACGTACTGCCTCGTTAAAAACCTTCTCATGGAAAAACCCATTGGGATAAAAACCATGACAAGGGAAAAAGAGTACAGTAACACATACTCCCCCTGGAAAAGACTTCATAGGTCTCGTAGATGACGCATTCCAATACTTTGAACATGCTTTCTAAATGTAGAAGTTGGAAGCGCCTTTGTGAATAGATCTGCTGCATTGTCACTTGAACGAATGTACTGAACGTTGACTTCCTTATTCTTCTCGAGTTCTTGAGTGTAGGAGAAGAATCTTGGAGGAATATGTTTTGTTCTGTCGCTCTTGATATAGCCTTCTTTGATTTGAGCAACACATGCAGCATTATCTTCATATAGTCTTGTTGGCTCTCTTTTGATGACTAATCCACTTGCTTCTTGAATATGGTTAGTCATAGATCTAAGCCATACACATTCTCTACACGCTTCATGAAGAGCAATGATCTCTGCGTGATTTGATGAGGTGGCTACTATCGTTTGCTTTTGAGAACGCCACGAGATTGCAGTTCCTCCAATGGTAAAAACATATCCAGTTTGTGATCTAGACTTATGAGAGTCCGATAGATATCCTGCATCTGCAAAACCAACTAGACCAAACTCGGAGTTTCTAGAATAATATAATCCCAAATCAATTGTACCTTGAAGATAGCGGAAGATGTGTTTTATCCCATTCCAATGCCTTCGAGTAGGGGATGAATTGTACCTTGCAAGCAAATTAGTAGCAAAAGCAATATCTGGTCTAGTACAATTTGCAAGATACATAGAATGAGAAAATTCCATCATCATCATCTATCTCATTTCTAACCCATATTTTTCTATTTTGGGTATAGTTGATCTCATGGTTTTCTTTATTATTTTCGTCTTCAGGACTTTTTCCGTCTTCAGGACTTTTCTCTGTATCCAACTCTTCAGGAATCTTCTCATTTACTTCTCCCAATTTCTTTTTCTTCCGGGGATTTTTATCTTTTGAGCCCATTGGTCTCCCCCTTTTCAACTGAACTTTAGGTTCATTTATTTTTCCATCAGTTTGTTCTTCGGGAACATCAATTCTAGATGGAACATTCGCAGCGGGTATATAAGATTTTGTCACCCTTCTTGTATCAGTGAATGCATCTGGTAGTTGATTTGCCAAATTTTGTAAATGTACAATTTTCTGAACTTCCAGTTCACGTTGTTTCGTAGGGGGATCAAGGTGCAATAAAGATGGTGTGCACCATGTAATATCTTTTGGAATTTCTTTAATTCCTCCCCCTAATGCTGGGAATTCATCCTCATTAAAATGGCAATCAGCAAAACGTGCCGTAAACATATCACCAGTTTGCGGTTCAAGATACCGAATTATACTTGGTGATGTAAACCCGACATATATTCCCAATCTCCTTTGTGGTCCCATTTTTGTTCTTTGTGGTGGAGCTATAGGTACATAAACCGCACATCCAAAAACGCGGAGATGGGATATATCTGGCTTCTGGCCAGAACCTAATTGTAATGGGGAGTATTTATGATATGCACTTGGCCGTATTTGAATTAGTGCAGCAGCATGCAAGATTGCATGACCCCATACCAAAATTGGGAGCTTTGTTCTCATTATTAACGGTCTAGCAATAAGTTGTAGCCGTTTAATCAAGGACTCAGCCATGCCATTTTGTGTATGAACATGAGGGACCGGATGTTCAACATCAATTCCTAATAACATGCAATAATCATTGAAAACTTGTGAAATAAACTCACCAGCATTATCAAGTCTTACTTTCTTTATTGTATAATCAGGGAATTGTGCTCTCAACCTGATTATTTGGGTAATGAATTTCGCGAAAGCCGAATTTCGTGTGCTTAACAAACACACATGTGACCATATGCTGGATGCGTCAATTAATACCATAAAATATCGAAATGGCCTGCACTGTGGGTGAATAGGTCCACATATATCACCATGTATTCTTTCTAAGAATGCTGGAGATTCATTCCCAATTTTCGCTGGTGATGGCCGAGTTATTAACTTTCCTTGAGAACAAGCATTACATGAAAATTCTTTTGATTGAAAAATCTTCTGGTTTTTCAATAGATGGCCATTTGAATTTTTCATAATTTTACGCATCATGACTGAACCTGGATGCCCTAAACGTTCATGCCAGATTTTGAACGTATTTGTAAACTTCGGGTTTACAGTAATATATGATTCAATCATATTTATTTCTGTGGAATATATTCCGGAGGATAAAGCTGCTAGCTTTTCTAATATACATTTATTCTCCGTAATAATTGATGTAATGCAAAGATATTCAATGCCATTTTCATTTAGAGTTTCTATGTGATATCCATTTCTGCGGATATCTCTGAAACTTAACAAATTTCTAAATGATTTAGGAGAATATAATGCATTATTTATTTCAATTTTTGTTCCCCTCGGCATTGAAAAACTGGCTCTTCCGGAGCCCATAATAATTTTTGCATTGCCAGATATAGTATTCACGCTTTCGGCAGAATTTTGTATTTTAAGGGAGGAGAAATATTTTTTTATCTTTAAGTATTGTGTGCGTTGTAGCACTGTCTGCCAGACAGATATCTCCATCCTTCATCTCAAATTTGGACATTTTCTGAATTTATAAATATTCATAAAAAATATGTTAATATATCATAACAAACGATTTATATTACAATAAAACTATTTTACAATAGAGATAAAATACAAAACACACAAAAAAACAAACATTAAGCTTTTATTTTCTTCTTCAGGAAGATAAACATAACTATCATGTCACACAAACTTCTTCGGGAAGTTTTATTCATTTTGTTTATCGTTGATGGCTTCAGGATCAACTATGAAGTCGGCAATGTCGAGATATGTATCATCGATTAAACCATCGAAAGAAGGCCCTGGTTCACCATAAACAAAGTTGGTTTCTTTTTCTTTTTGTGATTTTTGGTACAGATCGGCCAAATGTTTCGACGTACGACAGGTACGGGACCAATGTCCTTTCATGCCGCATCTGTAACAAGCATTTTCATGTTGCTTAATCGCGCGACCATCTTCGTTCCTTTTGAATCTTTTATTGTTGTTTTTAGTGGAATCATTAGGACCAAATTTTCTTCCATGTCCACGTCCACGCACATATCCACCTCGTCCACGACCACGATCATTACTTCGAGCGCGTTTACGTCCGTAATTATTATAATTAGATGCTGCAACATTCACTTCCGGGAATGGAGCTGATCCAGTCGGACGAGATTGATGGTTCAATATCATAATTTCATTATTTTGTTCTGCAACCAACAGAACTTGCATTAGTTCAGAATACTTCGTGTATCCTTTTGCTCGGTATTGTTGTTGCAGAAGTACATTTCCAGGATGGAATGTTTGGAGAGTTTTCTCAATCATATCATAATCACTTATATTTTCTCCACATAACATTATCCTGGAAGTAATTCCGAACAAAGCGGAATTATATTCGGCAACACTTTTGAAATCCTGAAACCGGAGGTTCAGCCACTTGTGTTTCGCTTTTGGTAAGATCACATATTTTTGGTGATCAAACCTATCTCCGAGTGCTTGCCAAAGATCTGCAGGATCTTCCTTTGTGATGTATTCATCTTTTAAACCATCATGAATATGGTGGGTTAAAAATATCATGGCATTTGCCTTATCCTCTTCAGGGGATGATTTTGATTTATCGATGGTGTCAAGGAGCCTTTTTCCTTTTAAATGCCTCTTTGCTGCAACGGCCCATCTCATATAATTATTCCCAGAGATATCAAGGGCAGTTATCTCGAGTTTTGTCAAATTTGACATGATAACTGTAAACATATAAAATAATTTATTAAACATAAATTTACTCGTTTTTCAATTGTAATTTAAATGGCATGATAATGTTATTTAATTAAATTGAACCATTTTAAATATGCAAACGATTACAAATGTCATTATTAAAAGTTTCATTTAATTAATTTAAAACATAGAAGGTACTTTCATAAGTGAAGCGATTACAAGAAACACAATTACATAGAGAAGTAAAATAGAAACCATTAAAAACTCTTCGGGAGAAAATTCTCCAAAAATTAAACCATAAATAGCAACAAAAATAAAACCTATTA